GGGCTCAGGCCACTGCGGGGAGCCCTGGGCCCTTTAAATTGCCACTCAAGCCCCGCTGCCGGATATAACGCAGTAAAGCAGCCTCGCCCTCCAGAGCACTGCTTTACCGCGTTATATCCGAATTCGTGTTATATTGGGACTCGTTATATCGGGGTAGAGGTGTGTGTATATAATATATACACACACACACAGAATTTCTATTTAAGAATCTCTTTCAGTTGTTTGCCTTATTCTGGCCAGCCAGTCAAATCTGAATTTGGGCACAATTTGTTTCTGAGCATCTTAGTCACTGAAATAAGCATACTATGAAAAATAAACAATGTGTGGCTGAAATGGCAAGCTTTCAATAGCTAGGCCAATGTATGTATAAACAGGAAATTCAATTATGTGAGATTTCTCCCAAATCCCTTATTTAATACTGTTCACATTCTGGAGTACATATATCTCAGCAATATAACACACCGATTGCTATTTACTGCATCGTTTTGTACAAGAAACTTCAATACTGTCAGGTTCTATTTCAATAAACCATGTGTAGCAGTTAAATTACATAAAAAAAATAAGGGATCCAGAATGTATCTGTCAGAGATGATAGTGCTACCATATACCAGTGTAATCCATTCTTGGTTTAATGGACTCACCTCCTCAAATACTTTAGTGAAGGTCAAACATCTTCATTATCCGAAAGTCCTAGATTTTCCATTGGGATCGCTAATTTAACTGACTTATGTATCAAAATGCATGTTACCTGATAGATCTGCTACTGGATACTCATCTGAGGAGGTTCAAGAATATTTTTCCAGTTAAGGTTGGCTGCAATTTATACTCACTCAACTGGCTTAATTTCCACATGTTTTTAGAGACCTGCTATCTCAAATGCAGAGAACATCTAAACCTGGAGAACCATGCTTTCAGGGTGACATAATACCAACAGGCAAACATTTAACTTAGCCACCTATCAGAGTTACAGAAGGGATCAATTTTGTTCTCAGATATGCAAAGAAGTTCCCATTGAAGAGAATGGTAGTTGTCCTTATGCATGTATAAGGGCAGAATTTGGCCAATAGTGGAGGCCTAAGGCCAGGATCTACTTCTTAGACCCACACGTGACTACCACTCCCCAAAGAGAACTCCCACTTTTGACAATGGGAGTGGTATGCAAAGAATAATCATAGCATATGGCACTTACAAGATAAACAATAAAATATTTTATTGTTAACAGTTTCCAATATATTGATATAAAACATAATTCCTTCTGCTCTGCCAATAATAAAAGTGTTTTTATAGCCAAGAGCAAAGAATAGATGATTAACTTTAAATTCTGGAGAACAGTTATAGGGTTTTACAAAATGTTCAACAGAAATCCAGAAAGAATTTGGAAAACACAACAGATTTAAAATCAAATCATTAGAAAACTCAGTTTGATCCAAAATGTCCTAAACATTACAGCCAATTTGTATTAGCGAGAGGACTGTTTTTTCCTTTTAATAATACATTTCAATACTCAGTTCTGGAAGATAGCTGTTTCAAATTAAAATGATAAGAAATGCTTCACCTAATTTTAAAAACAGCTCACAGAAGACTGATGTGCAATTTAGTGTCTGAAACTGACATTTTAATATTTAATCACTTAAAGCATTTACTTTTAAAGTCATCTTTTAAAATTAATCTTACTATGAATTGCAATACAAGTTTGCAAAACAAGCTACAACATTTGAAACTCACTGATCTAAAAGAAAATTAAATTCATAATCACTAGTATACATAATGTACAAAGAAGGCTATACACAATAAGTGAATGTGATGCAGTAACTGTGTAGTACACAATTGGGAGGGAGAAATATCCTCACATTGTAAAGAAACATTACAATCTCAACTAAGTATGGGGGGAAATGCTTCTCTTTCCAACCATGACCTAGAAAAATGCTTACTTTTCTCATGTTCTGTACTATACATATGAGTTTGTATATGCTTACAAAATTACATATACACAAGTAGAAGAAAAACAGATCACACACCTGCTCTTTATATGTAGTTTGTCCATAATAAAGTAACAAATAAAGTCAAAATAATGAGCTGTTCTGATATTGTGCTCACCAGAAACTATCTATTACAGAAATCAGTACGATTTTATATTAAGAAGAAATACTTATAGAAAAAGGCACTTTAGAAAATGTCATGCTAGGCCACTCAGGAGCATAAGTACCATTTTCAAAAGCACCTAACCCACTTAGGCTCCTAATTCCCAGGGTGCTTTTGGAAATGAGACTGAAGACTAAGTACCTAACTTAGGCACTAAACGTGGGTCAAAGTGGCTTTTGACGATTCTACCGAAAGCCTACATAAAATAAAATGAAGCACTATTTTACATATTGGGGGGAATAGGACACAGTCAACTTGCAATCAATTAACAAAAATAGTTTATGTAATTTCAGATATTACTCCTTCTCTGAATCTCACCAGTTTTTATGACTTTATAATGACATTTCCTATTTTTTAAAATTTCTCTCTCTTTCCTTGCTGTATCAAAGACCCACACAAACAACAGGGAAAACTGAGTAACTGACTATACAGGAGAAGCAGTGGGAGTGACTAAATACAAACTGCTGTCAAATACACAAAATAAGCCAACTGAAAAAATATTTCCCCCCTCAAATCTGTTTCAGTACAGTAATTTTAGCCCTAGGTCCTGCGAGCAGCTTTGTGCAGGTAGATCCCTGAACCTGCACTGAGCCCCAGTGACTTCAAGGGGAGTCTGCCTGCACAGAGCTCCTTGCAGGATCAGAACCTTAGGTGTTAATTGTGACACCAGTATATACTCCATTAACAGTCACAAGCATGATTTTTTAAGTTGACAATGTCCTTTAATTAAATTCTACGCTTTTAAAAGTAGTACAGTAAAGACTTGTATACACTAGGAATTTCTGGAGTGGTGTCGCTACAGTGATGCATATGCCCGCTGTAGATGCATTACTTTGTATAAAGCAAGGATTGCATCAGGGCAACCCTGAGCTTTCTCAATAGTTCTATAAATTAATAGCTCTTCTGACCCATCTATTCTCGCTGAAACCGACCACCTTCACTTTGCCTAAAATAATGCCAAAATTAGGCCCTGAGTTGCCATGAGTTATACACATACTTAACTTTACAAGTGAATGGACCCCACTGAAATCAATGAGATTACTCATTCATTAAGTTAAGCATGTACATAATTGACAACAGTACTGGGGCCTAACTCTTTGAAACTATGAAAATTCATATATTTAAATCCCCCCCTATTCTGGGATCACACAGTGATTTCCCCCTAATAAATTTCCCTCTTCCCTAAAATATTGAGCAAAATCCTGTAGCATTATTGCAATTAAAAATAAATAAATAAATAAAGCAGAAACAACAGACTTGTACTACAAGTCGAATATGACAAAAAAAACTTCTTGAATATGTTAAGTCAATTTCCATAAACTAAAGCAAATGCAAGCTATATATTCTTTATTTCACCTTTTTTATGAATCCTAAAATTACCACAATGTGAAATTTAATCAATCAAAACTAGGCCAAAATCAAATAGGCAGAGCAATTTTTATTGCCAGTATTATCTCTCTCTCCTCCTCCTCTCCTGATCATTCCTCCACACCCATTATTCCAAGTATAGAAGAGAAAATGCGTTAGTTAAGGAAAACTGCAAATTAATTTAAATGACTATGAAGGTATTCTTTCACGTTTCACTTATTTTGATCCAGCTTTAACTCATTTAAAAACAATTTACCCCATATCAATAACAATCATACAAAACAAGATAGCATATTTGCACAAAACCAGACAGTACACATCTTTTGCATGTGATATACAGTATTCAGTTTTATAACCTCACATACACCAGGCTCTAGTACAGACATTTTTTAGGCCGTTAGTCCAAAGCACAAACTATATCTACCACAGTAACTATGCATTATGTTACAATAAACTGGTCATGAGCTTTTTTATTATTATTTTTAATTCAAAAGACTATTATTTTAGCAGAAACAAAAAAAATAGAGAAATGTTGCTTTTTGTACATTAGCTATGATTATATTACAATAATACAATAATGTTGAGATTGAGGGGAAATTATGTCGTATATTGTAAATTTTATTTCTTATCCAATGGGTGGATTCCAAAGATATTCAAGATCCTGTCATCCTCCAACATACTGTAGGTTATTAGTCAGTTTCATGTCTTTGTGTGTTGTTGTTGTAACAAATTAGCCTATAATCTGAGTGTAACCCTTCATCTCAGTTTACCTCATTAAATAAAAATCACACTAAAAAAATACAATCAGCCACCCAGCAACCTTTCGGAAGGCTCACAGAACAATGCAGACATTAAAGCCTGTCACCATCAATCTGCAAAGCAACTCCGCCTGCGAGTCCTTTCATTTAGCTGCTTCCTTGCAATTTCTCCCTTACACCCACCCCCAAATGTATTTGCCATTTATGTTCTCTTTTCATCTCTCTGTCACCCACCAAGCCCTATCCCCTCTCCATTTTTGGAAGGCCAGTGTCTCTTCCACATCAAATCACCTACAGGAACCAGAATCAGTTATTTACCCAGCTACATATGTATTTGCAATACATGCCCACGGATATATACCATGTAACATCGGGTATTATAGATATCTGTGCACACACACCGCCACCATCATCCTCGGAGTCCGAATAAACATAATCATGTAGATTGGAAGCACCCGCGGACCTAAGGCAAGGAAACTGAGTGTAAATTGTGTCCTTCCTCCCTTCCCCTCCCCCGCACCCAGGATCAGATTCCCTTTACTTCCATACTTATCAATGGATTGATACAATCTACACACACCGTATCCAGACACAGCACCCACAGGCATGTCTGCTGCATAGGTGCCTACATGCATGTGCAAAGCGGCACCCCCAATTGGCACCTTGTGTGTGTGAGCAGCAGCAGGGGCAGCTGGCTGGGTTGGGGGGCAGGCGGCGCCTGCCTGGACTTACCCAGCAACAGCAGCTTGAGCTCCCGGCGGGCGTCCCGCTTGTCCCGGCGGAGCTGCCTCTCGATCTCATCGTTGATCCGCCTGGCTTCTTTGGCTTCCTCGCTCAGGCAGCACGCCATGATGGACTCCAGAGTCATTCTTCCTAACTGGTTCAGACACAACCCCCACCCCCCGAAAACACACACACACCCCGCACCACGGAGCGAGGGAGGCACGCGCCCTCTGCCTGCGAGCCCCCACCCGGGGACAGCAGAGCCAACGCCGGGAGAGCTCTAGATGCTACAGCCGGGGAGGAAGAGAGGCAGAGAAAGGGCCCCCACCAGCAGCAGCGCAAACCCCCCTATCTCCTGCCTCTGACACTCGCTGGTTCCAACTCCTCCTCTTCTCTAATCATGCACCAAACAACAGGGAAACATCGACCGGAGCAGCAGTGCCCAGCAGAGAGGAGCAGCCCAGCACCCCACTCTTTTTCTTTCCTGCCTCCTGCAGCCACAGTCCCCAAACGTCCCTTGTAAATGACACCCGCTGAAATCCCCCTCCCTCCAAAGCAACCAGCCCCTATTGAAATGCTAATCGCGACTAACCCCTCCCCCCCTCCACACACACATTTTCTTGTCTCTTCCCCCCTCCCTGACTTGAAGATCATCAGATCCTCCAGGGGGTGGTTTTGCTTGTTGCCTCTTGGAAATCTCTGAGTTTGCTTTGCTTAAGGTCTTCTTTCAAGTGGACTTTTCTTCCCGGCTTTCTTTGGGGCTGGGGGGGGCGGGGGGTCTATTTGCTTCTGTCTTGCAAAGCAGCTGTTCTTCTTGTCCCTGCCTTTCCCTTTCTGTAAGGAAGCGAGAGGGGGTAATGCCAGAGAGGAGGAGGGAAGCAAGAGCTGTGGTGCATGTACAATATGTATCCAGCCAGCCTGACTTTTCAATGGCTCAGCTCCCCGGGCGTGGTAAGGCAGAAATATGGCGGACCTTCCCTCCCTCTCTCTCTCTCCAACCCACGAGACAGAGGAATATATGTTACAGAGAGAAAGGAAAATCCCAGGGAAATAAACCTCCAAACCCACTGAACAGGCTTTCATACAAAGACGAACACCACCACCCAATAGCAGTAACAGAGGGAGGAACAAGTCCTTTTGCACACCAAATGGCCGCAAGGAACACTCTTTTTTATTTGTCCTATAGGGCAGGGCTGGGTTTTTTTCTAACACTACATTTTTAGATTTGCTTTTCTTTCCTCGTCCTAGTCCATTTTATTATAACCCCTATTCTAAGAAGAGGTGACTTTGTAAATTGGGAAAGAGTGAAATTATAGCAATTCCCAGGAGGGAAAAGGGAGAGGGAACATCTCTCCCTTCAGATGGCAATGTAAATTTGGGGAATAAAAGTTTCCCAGGGTCTTCAAGGCATTCCTTGTAACTTTTCATGGCAATGAGTTCCTATGGTGTGCAGAAGAAGAAGGGGGGGGAGATTTTAACAATGATTATAAATGCAACGAAATGGGTAGGCTCCTTCCCTTGCTTATAAGAACCTAATATTCTAAAATTTAAGTAGATGAGTCTGTTTTACTTTTTATTTCTGTAGTAGTAGCTTTGAGGCTATCCATTGTGATTTAGCTTGCCAAAACCCCAAGTCCCTGGTGTATGTGTATTACCAGACCTTAAGTCACCACTCCAGAGAAATGGCACATTTTGGACTGATATATGATATGGGTCCTAGCTTTCATCAGTACTTCATGTTTTAGCCGCATTTTGTCCCATTCCCAGCCCCATTTTAAATTAGCTGTAAAGGAGAAGGTTGAAGTCTCTCGGAGGAAAGCAATGGAAATCTATGAAGGTTGCTAGGCAGTAAGAGAGGGGCATCCATATCCTCCTTCCCCACCTCCCCCCAGCTTCATGTGTGTGATGATCTTTCCAGCACCTGTTGGCATATATTTTGAAAATGATGCTGTGCTCATACCTGCAGCTGCTCAGACGTGCTGACACAGTATGTATTAAACGGTGTCCATCACAAGCTATGAAACTGGAAATTAAAATGTAACGATCAAGACAATGACATTCTGTCCGATTTTGAAAAAAATAATTCTCATTGCTTCACAATTTTAAAAATACATTAACTTGCTCAAATTTGTGTAGCAGGTTTTTTTAAATATACTGTATAAAAACAGTCACTGCACTTCAGTAAATTTTTAAAGTATGTTTCTTTTTCCTTGTAAGCAAGATTAAAATAAAGATGTGCAAATGTTTAGATTAAATTCTATAATCCTATTTTTAATAAAAGCACTATTATTTCAGTGAAAGCATCTTTTTCATTAAACTGAAATGGATTTAAAATTTAATAAAATGTTTTAGAGGGCCCTGATTTATGTATGTGTTGGCAATGAATTTAGCAACATAAAGATATAGTTAATAGACACTAGTTTGCAGTTATCACATTTATAAAAACGCTAATCAGGAAACAAGCGAATAATGACACAGGGTGGAATCCTGTTTGTCTTCACTGAACAACTTCTTTGTGGATCAGAACCTGTTCCCATGAGTGTATAGGAGACAAAAAGGCAGCAGAATGGGTGCACAGTGGCCAGTTATAAGGAACATATGCCGGGGACATGCTGTGTGCTCACCACACTGCTTGCACGGGGTCCCACATGGCGCAGAGGGGCTTGCAGCAAGTCTGGGGGAAGGGTAGAGTATGACAAGTGGATCTGCACCACCCCAGTTTAACTGATCAAAATCTCTCTGCATATTGAGAGCACAGCAGCCATAGCCCTCAAGGGCCTTGCATTGTAGTAATCTTCCTTCAGAAGAGGAAGTCTGACAGCTTTCTGCAGACTTTGTCAGTCCCATTTTATACATTCACTTCAGGGGGTTGCAAGAGTCTCTCCAGTCTGAACACTATATACTAAAAATGTGAAACTATCATTTAATTGTAGGCATGCTTGGGGACATATACTGCATTTAATCTGTATGTGCCTCTCTCATTGACACTGGTTTTTGATGTATGACCTGAGGGGACTGCCCTCCAATATGTATCTTGGAAAAGACCACAGATTAAATAGAAAATGTTATGAGGTAGGAGTATAGGAATTGTCATAGCAGAGCACACAAATGGACCTAGGTTAGTATCCTGCCTCTGCCAGTGATCAGTACCAGATACTTTAGAGGAAAGTATAAAAACTTCATAATGGGCAATTATGCAATAATATGCCTATAGAGTTTCTTCCTAACTCCAAGCAGAGTAGTGGTTGACTTTTGTCCTGAAACAAGAGGCTTTATATCCCCTATCCCCTGTATATTTTTATCCTAGCAAGTATATTTGTGAATGATGCAATTATTAACTACAAAGATATCTAATCCTGTTGTGAATCCCACCAAGCTCTTTGCCTTAGTATATGAGTTCCATAGTTTAAGTACATGTTGCGTATAACAGTGATTCCTTTTATTGGCCTAAATTTTCAAAATGTCTAGGGATTTTGGATGTCTGACTAGAGGACACCTTAAGGGGGCCTGGTTTTCAGGAAGTGCTGAAGAACACATCCTCTTTGAATATCAGATTCCTTTAAGGTGTCTCAAATTGGCCACCCAAATATTGAGGCATCCATATTAGTCACTTTTGAAAATTTAGTGTCAGTTTTAAATTCGTTGCCTTTCACTTTCATTAACCATCTCTTTCTTGTGCTATAAGAGAGAGTAAATATGCATTCATGATAAACTTTCTCGGTATACCATTAATAATTTTGTATACCTCTATCATAGCACCTCTTACTTACTCTCTAAAATATGTAGTCCCAGTCTTTAAAATCTCTTCTTGTACAGAAATCCTTCCATGCATCTAATGCAGGGGTCAGCAACCTTTCAGAAGTGGTGTGCTGAGTCTTCATTTAGTCACTCTAATTTAAGATTTCGCGTGCCAGTAATACATTTTAACGTTTTTCTATAAGTCTATAATATATAACTAAACTTGTTCTATGTAAAGTAAATAAGGTGTTTTTTAAATGTTTAAGAAGCTTCATTTAAAATTAAATTAAAATGCAGAGCCCCCCGGACCGGTGGCCAGGACCCGGGCAGTGTGAGTGCCACTGAAAATCAGCTCGCGGGCCACCTTTGGCGTGCGTGCCATAGGTTGCCTACCCCTGATCTAACGCTTTAGTTGTCCTACTCTGTGCCTCTTCTGTTTGAACTATTTTTTTAGATGGTTTGACCAAATCTGAACACACTACTTAAAGAGAGAGTATTCCGGCAGCATATATAATACCATTACAGTAGTTTCAGCATTACTCAATATCTCTTAAAACAATGTAACATCTTTGTGACAGATATTGCAATCCCATGCAGTATTTTAGGGACCATTTATTAAATTTATGAATGATTTATTTATGATTGTGTTCCTCCATGGGGAGGATTACCACAGCTCCTACAGGAACTAAACACAGTGAGAGGTTGATTAAGGTGAGTCACTGAGACTACGCAACTAGAGAAGTACTAGCCCCTGCCGTGGTTTGCTTTTCCTGGTTCAAGCTGGGTTTTCTAGAGCAGTGGTTTTCAAACTTTTTTTCTGGCGACCCAGTTGAAGAAAATTGTTGATGCCTGAGACCCACCGGCGCTGGGGATGAGGGGTTTGGGGTGTAGGAGGGGCTCAGGGCTGGGGCAGATGGTTGAGGGGAGGGCTGCGGGGTGGGGCTAGGGATGAGGGGGTTGGGGTGCAGGAGGGGGCTCTGGGTTTGAGGGGGGGCTCGGGATTGGGGCATGGGATTGGCGCACGGGCTTACCTCTGGCGGCTCCCAGTCAGCGGCGCAGCTGGGGTGGAGGGGCAGGCTTCCCGCCTGTCCTGGCACTGCGGACCGTGCTGCGCTAGGCGGAGGCACACAAGTGGCTCTGCTCAGCTCTCGCCCGCAGGCACAGCCCCCTTCCCCAATGCGGAGCTGGTGCTCAGGGCGGGGGCAGCGTGGAGAGCCGCGTGGCCCCCACCACACCTAGGAGTCGGACCTACTGCTGGCCACTTCCGGGGCACAGCACGGTGTCAGAACAGGTGGGGACTAGCTTGCCTTAGCCGGGCAGCACCGCTGATGAGACTTTTAATGGTCTGGTCGGCGGTGCTGACCAGAGCCACCGCGATCCAATGCCTTACATTCCACGACCCAGTAGTGGGTCGCGACCTGCAGTTTGAAAACCACTGTTCTAAAGCCTAGAAGGCAAAGAAAGGGGGTTTGGTATAAAAGGATGAGCTTAAACTGACACAGGGCCTTCTTTCTGATCCAGCAAACAGACAGTGCCTTCTGTCCAAGAGGGGCTCCAAAGTTGTGGAAGAGTTGGAAAGACTTTGGCCTGCTAGGATCCCATAAGACTGATGCGTGACTCCAGTCCTGGTATGTTTAGTCTATGTTCAAATCTGTTTATTGTTTTATTATGTTTTCTCTGTAATGCATTTACTCTAAGAATACATGTGCTTGATCAGAAGGAACTGTGTGGTAAGTTGTAGCTGCTGGCAACACACTGTTCATAGTCT